AGAGATCCGTGATAAAATCCAAAAAGGAATGAGCAATATTACTGTTCCTGATCTGGTTTATCGGCTTCAGTCACTTTCTCACCACCGTAAAATTGCCTCCCTTTGATTTTCTAGAAGTGATTTCATGTAATTGTTCGGATAAACTATTCGATATGGTATCTAGACTTAAAGCGCCGTACTAGACTGACGACGAGGTCTCTTGAGTTCACAGTTGAACTGGTTAGATGTAACCGTAATTTCTATGCTAACCGTTTCTTCTCACGCACTCTTCGCTTGCAAAACTTCCTTTCCGGCTCCATGCTTTCCAGCCAACTTTAATCTTCATAAATGTAAATGCAATGTCAATCGTTATCTACTGTCTTCTTGATTACTCTTCTGTTATTGTTCTCATTCCTTAATAATGTTTCTGTTTTCTAAGTTTTCGACACCCAGCAATCTCTTGTGTTGGCGATGAACTGTCTTCACTGAGGCAAGTGTGACAGTTCATCGCCAACAAATTAGGGACCCCTACATCAGAAAAATACCCATTAGCCAACATATAGAGGAATGTGAAGGACAAAATCAGCCAAATTTTGGCGTCTTCACATTCTACAAATGAAACTACAGAAGCACCGAACAAAGGCGGATTAAGAAGGAAACATTTTTCATCAACAAGTCCAAACCCATACTTAATTCGTTGCATAAATAGATTCTACCAAATCCTTCTTACCATAAATAACATATATATCAAGTTACGCACCTCGATTTTCATTTTTTTCATTTATTCAAAACATAAGCATCAACACGTGGAGATACAAGCAACTAAAAACTTTTTGAAAAGCTAAGCGAAACCGGTTAAAGTAAAGAAAACAAGAAAAAAAGAAAACAACAAATTATTTTTAAAAAAAAGAAAAAACACTGAAAATCCAATTATAAGTACCAAAGTTTTAATTCTTGTCTGTAGAAATTTATATTTTATAAATAAATAGCACTATATTAAATATTAGATGCCTTTTTTCCAATCCTCATTTTAGTCTATACAATAAGTTTTTGTTCAGAATCTTTCTAACCAAAAAAAAAAAAATTTACCCATCAAACACTGTACAAACCACGGAAAATGCCACCTAAAATAGAGAAACCAGATAAAAATACAAATGATGAAATCTTAAAACATCTAAAAGAAATTAATACAAAATTCTCTGCGCTAACAGAAACATTAGAAAAATTTTATGAAATTACAGAAAAACATTCAACAAAGATGACAACAGTCAAACGAAAAAGGACAAAGAAAAACAATGTGAAAACAGAAATTATCGTTCAAACAAAACAAATCGAAGATAAACCATCACTGAAAGAATTATCGGAATATAGTCCCATGACTAACTTCCTGTTAAAAACCGAAATAAATAATATATGGACCAAAAACCTCAACCTCAAAAAATTCACATTCTGGAACATGCTAAAAAATAATAACAAGTCAGAGATCTACGAACGCTGGATAAACTCAACGCCATTGATATTACCAAGGAAAGTACAATTGGAAAACCAATCGACGAAGAACCAGAACCATAAAGACAAGGACGTCAAAAACTATTATTTTTTTAAAAAATGCGTAACAAAATCGAGCTAATGAAACTAAGAGCAAGAAGAAATAAACAAAAATACAAAGACATTGATAAACGAATAGGAATTGAAATCTCAAAAAATTACAATGAAGTTTCACTAGACGACATTTATAACAATGCAAACAAGAATGTGAGAACGAGGAACGAATATCTCCACAGAGATGGGAGAAAAAAGAAAACTGGTTTTCAAACTATGACAAACAATTTAAAATAGATTACAGCAAAGAAAATCTATTCTTTAAGAAAATAAAAAATAACCACATGGAAAAACGCGACGACACTACGTTACCCGAATTTTTCAATCATAAAAGGAAATCACACTATAGACAAAATCCAGCCCAAAAACTTGACAAAAAGGAAATGAGAAATCCTGCAAGCCAATCACCATCATTACAATATATAAATAGACCAACAAGGGGAGAACACAATCAAACCTTGAATGTACAGAAACAATTCTGGACAAAACCAATACAACCACAGAAGAAACAACCACATAGAAAATACATATAACAACAGCAAAAAAAAAAAAAAAAAAAGCTGCAGCTTTGGAGCAAACAGACCACCAAATCGGAACTACAGAAATAATCTCAGACTGAAGCAAAGCCAACACATAAAAAAGAAGAACCAAGGACAGAACAAGAGATACAATACCAAAATACACAATGATCACAAATAAAGCAACATAAAACATATTGGCATGTTTAAGCAATATAGAAGAATCCCACTTTAACCATTTTTAGACAGAAACCAAAACATGGACACGGGATGGCCCACAACCAAGAAAAACCGAAAGTAATCAACCTTTCACAAAAATCATTAACACCTACACAAATAGACTAAAATTCACACCAACACCCCAAAAAACAAATGTAGCAGAAATGAAGGATGATATTAGGGAATTCTGTAGAAGACACAGGCTAGCAGAAGAATTCTTTGAAGAAGAAAACAATAACAAATCGTTAATAAAAAAGAAACAAGAAACATTATCAAACCCCAAAACTGATTGCGTGAATATATGCACACCAACCAACCTAAAAAACTAAGGCCTATAATAGGACGGCCGCCCAATTTGCGAGACACACTGTTTAAGCAATTTTCAAGACATCCTATTTAAACCTCTTCTCAAATACGTTCGGAGCTTCATTCGAAATGATCTAGATTCTCTGAATCATCTTCCCAACGAGATAAACCATAATATGGTTTCAATGGATGTTGTGAACTTATATAGCAACATCCAACATAACTACGGAATAGAGGCTATAAAATACTGGCCAGAAAAATTTCCCCATGAGCTACCAAATCGTATCAAAGGAAATTTCCTCATAGAAAGCGTAAAATTCATCTTATAAAACAATTATTTCATGTCCAACAAAACACCCTACGGGCAAAAATCAGGAACAACGATGAGGACAAAGATTGCACCAACATATGCCAACCATAGGATACTATGAACGAAAAATCTATGATTGAACCTCGGGATCTATGGGAATTACTTCAGTTGCAATATAAAAGAAATCTGGGAATGATATCTAAACTAGAAACTGAGATATACTTTAAACAGACTGACTCTCGACAATATCTCCTTTATACATCTTTTCACCCGAAACACACTCCAACATCCGACTCAACCTAGCCAAGCGGATATGTACAATACTCAAACACAAGAGACCACAGTCTAGAAGAGATGAAAAAAATACTCATCGAGAGAAAATACTCACAAAGTTTGGTCGACAATAGTATTGAAAAAGCAAAACAAATTAACATCGACACACTCCGAGAGACAAAAGGAAAAAAAGGAAAAAATGTCATCCTTTATATCTCAGCTTTCAACCCAAAGAACAAAGAAATGTGCACACACATACAACCTAATGTATCAATCCTACTAAAGGACAAAAAAATGAAAAGCCTATTACAAAAATATCCAATCATAAAAAGTAAACGACAACCTAAATCACTGAAAAAATAGTGACCAGTGCACAAAACAATTAAAGATCCTCAGGTGGAAAAAAGGAACCGGCCACTTTGCGGGGTATGCAACTACCTATTAGAGGGCCATAAATTTCAGTTCAAAGACGGATCAAAATTAAAAATGATTTCAAGTGGGTCTAAGAGAATTTAATATACATAAATACATGCAAAGGTTGCCATGAGCATTACATTGGCCAAACTGGCCAGTCACTCAGGCAAAGGATGACAGTTCATCGTCAACAAATTAAGGAACACCCACCCAGAAAAATACCCTTTAGTCAACATATAGAGGAATGAGAAGGACAAAATCTGCAAACTTTTAGTGTCTTCCCATTCTACCAATGCGACGGATTAATAATGAAACATTTTTCATCAACAAGTAATACTCAGTCGTAACTGTTCTTGCTAACCATTACACCACATCGAAGTGACCATGCCTTTCTAAGCGTAGCTTAAATATGATACAAGATCGAATATGTGGAACACCCAAGGAGGATCGAACTCACTACTCAGTCGTACTTGTTCTAACGAGACAAGCTTACTAACCATTACACCACGTCGAAGTACCCAAAAAGATTTTTTAAGCTTAGCTGTGACACAAGACTGAATGTATGGGACATCCAGTGAGGTTCGGACTCATTATTTAGTCGTAACTCTTTTAACGAGACAAGCTTGCCAACCGTTACGCCACGTCGAAGCGTCCATAGGTTACAGGTATGGACACTCACCTTAGTTTAGAACTTATTTTGTATGTTTATATAATTATCAGCGTATATGCAAACATTTGGATAGGGAAGTAGTAAAGCGATGCAATCTGCGTATTTTTTGCTTCATTCTTGTCAGATTTTCTCTCGTTTTTTTTTCTACGTCCAATAGATATTTATACTTCAGTTGTGAGTGCCTTGGAAAGGACTCCCGTACATTTCCCCTCTTTCAAAAAAACACAGCACGATCAATGGTAAGAAAACAAAAGGTAACTCGGATAAATTGTTTCTTTTGATAGAATGACTTTTCTAACGATGAAAAATAAAAAAAATAAAAGCTATTTGCACATGTTTCTGTAACAAATTAGATTTTTGAGAAAATGGGAAAAAAATTTAAAAAAAAAACAAAAACAAAGGGAAAATCTGAAGAGTGTAAATACGAAATACATCAAATTGATTTTTTTAATTCATACAAATATGAATATAATTTTAAACGTCTATGCGAATTCTATTTATTTCTTCTTTGATTTATTTATAAGTCTCTTTATTTATGAACTTATCTATTTATTACAATGATCTATGTCTTTATTATTCATTGTTTTGCCTTGAGATTAAAAGGTGCAAAGGTATAAGGAAGTGTACAGAGATAAAGAAAGAAAAAAATTCGGAACGTTGTTGAAAGCTAGAAGCAAATGATATTGAAGTAGGAAAAAAAAAGAAATCTCTAAGAAATATCGAGGGAGAAAAAAATAACAGGGAAAAATTTAAATTGGTTTCTACGTAAATAAAGTAAACAATGTAATAGATAGAGTGAGATGAACTGAAATGAGAATACAGGGGGGGTGGAGATGAAATAGAGAAATAGAGATTTGAACGAATAGAGAGAAAAAGCGAGAGAGAGAGAGATGAAATAGATAGATAGATAGATAGATAGATAGATAGATAGATAGATAGATAGATAGATAGATATGAACTGAAATGAATAGATAGAGAGAGATGAACTGGATAGATAGATAGATAGATAGATAGATAGATAGATAGATAGATAGATAGATAGATATGAATTGAAATGAATAGATAGAGAGAGAGAGAGATAGTTATGAATTGAAATGAATAGATAGATAGATAGATAGATAGATATGAATTGAAATGAATAGATAGATAGAGAGAGAGAGAGATAGGCAGTTATGAATTGAAATGAATAGATAGATAGATAGATAGATAGATAGATAGATAGATAGATAATGAATTGAAATGAATAGATAGAGATGCACTGCATAGATAGATAGATAGATAGATAGATAGATAGATAGATAGATAGATAGATAGATAGATATGAATTGAAATAAATAGATAGAGAGAGAGATAGATAGGTAGTTATGAATTGAAATGAATAGATAGATAGATAGATAGATAGATAGATAGATAGATAGATAGATAGATACATACATACATACATACATACATAGATTAAGAAAAAGATAGTAACGAGAGAAAGTAATGTGAAAGTATAGACTGTATATTTGGAGAAACCAATAGACAGCAAGAAATCCGAACTGCTTCACTGTAATCGTTTGATATATTGAAAAAATTGAACATCTGAATGTTTCTTTTTAATCTGAGCGAGATTTAGCCCTGAGATTATCTTTGGCAAACACATCGGCTGTATACACCCGGGAACGAGAGAGTGAAGTATTTAATTGCTTCTTCATAGCCACCGGTTGTGGAAGATGAAATTATCTCAAACACCGTTGCCACTACGTTCGCCCCTACTGCTGCTGCTGCTGCTGCTGCTGTGTTGCCTTTCAATCGCAATCGCTGATCAGTGTCACTTCTCAAACTGATAATAGATTCCAAAAGAGCTACAAAGAAGAGAAGAGAACAAGAAAGCCCAATGTATAGAAAGAGAGGAGGAGGGGTCAGTCAAATAGCGAGTGAGGAAACGAGGGAGATAGAAAGGAACTGAGAAGGAGGAGCAACAGAATCAGAAGATAGCAGTGGAAGTTGGGTAGGAGAGAAAGAAGAGAGTGAAAGAAAGCAAAGAGGTAGTAAAAGAGAGAAAGGAATGAGTGAAAGAAAAGACAGAGTGGGAGAGAGTAGGAAAGAGTGAAAGAGAGAAAGGAGAGAGTGAAAGAGAGAAAGCATAGAGTGAGAGAGAGAACGGGGAGCCCGAAAGAGAGAAAGTATAGAGTGGGAGAGAGAAAGGAGAGAACGAGAGAGTGAGAAAGGAGAGAATGAAAGACAGATATGAGAGAGTGAAAGAGAGAAAAGTGGGAGTGAATGAGAGAAAGGAGAGGGTGAGAGAGAGAAAAGAGGGAGTGAAAGAGAGAAAAGAGAGCGTGAAAGAGAGAGAGAGGAGAAAGAACATAAAAAAGAAGACAGAGAAAAAAGGATTCCGGACACTTAAAAAAGGACATAGAAAAAGAATGTGTAAGAGATATGTTGAGTGAAAAAGAAAGATAAAAAGAAATTTGAAATTCTAAAGAAAAGAAAAGAAAAAAACAAAGAAAGAAAGTAAGAAAGAAAGAATCCTTGGAAAAATTAAGTGAAGACCAATAGAAGGACCAAGAAAGGGTGAATAAAGCTGAAACGAAAGGAGAGAGAATACACGAAAAAAGGTCTAAGAAAAAGAGATACGAGAAAAAGGAAGGAAGGAAGAAAGAAAGAAAGAAAGAAAGAAAGAAAGAAAGGAAGGAAGGAAGGAAGGAAGGAAGGAAGGAATCATTTGAAAAATAAGTGAAGACCAATTGAAGAAACAAGAATGAAACGGAAGAAGGAGTAAATATATAGAGAGAGAATATATGAAAAATCCTTAGATACGTAAAAGAAAGAAAGAAAGAAAGAAAGAAAGGAAGGAAGGAAGGAAGGAAGGAAGGAAGGAAGGAATCATTTGAAAAAAATAAGACCAATTGAAGACCAATTGAAGAAACAAGTATGAAACGGAAGAAGGAGTAAATATATAGAGAGAGAATATATGAAAAATCCTTAGATACGTAAAAGGAAGGAAGGAAGGAAGGAAGGAATCATTTGAAAAATAAGTGAAGACCAATTGAAGAAACAAGAATGAAACGGAAGAAGGTAAATATATATAAGAATATAAAAAAATATACGTAAAAAGGAAGGAAGGAAGGAGAGAATATTTGAAAAAAAGTGAAGACCAATTGAAGATACGAATGAAAAAGAAAGTAAATATATAGAGAGGAAGGAACGTAAAAAAGAAAGGAAGGAAGGAAGGAAGGAAGGAAGGAAGGAAGGAAGGAAGGAAGGAAGGAAGGAATCATTTGAAAAATAAGTGAAGACCAATTGAAGAAACAAGAATGAAACGGAAGAAGGAGTAAATATATAGAGAGAGAATATATGAAAAATCCTTAAAAAGAAAAGAAAAGAAAAGAAAGATACGTAAAAGGAAAAGAAAAATAAAAGAAAGAAAGAAACGGAAGAAGGGAAGGAAAAAAGGTGCAAAAGGAAGGAAGGAAGGAAGGAAGGAATCATTTGAAAAATAAGTGAAGACCAATTGAAGAAACAAGAATGAAACGGAAGAAGGAGTAAAAATATATAGAGAGAATATATGAAAAATCCTTAGATACGTAAAAAAAGAAAGGAAGGAAGGAAAAGGAAGGAAGGAAGGAAGGAAGGAAGGAAGGAAGGAATCATTTGAAAAATAAGTGAAGACCAATTGAAGAATGAAACGGAAGAAGGAGTAAATATATAGAGAGAGAATATAAAAAAGAATAAAAAGAAAGAAAGAAAGAAAAGAAAAGAAAGGAAAAGGAAGGAAGAAGGAATCATTTGAAAAATATATAGAGAAAGAGTAAAATATATAGAGAGAATATAAAAATCCTTAGATAGAAAAGGAAAAGGAAAAGAAAGAAGGAAGGAAAAAAAGAAAGAAAGACCAAAAGAAATGAAAGGAAGAAAAGTAAATATATAGAGTTAGAATATAGAAAATCTGTTACGTAAAAGAAAAAAAGAAAGGAAAAAAAGAAAGAAAGAAAGAAAAAAAAAGAAAAAAAAAAGAGGAAAAAGCCATAGATATATGAAAAAACGAAAAAACGAAAAGAGAAGAGAAAGAAAGAAAACTAAAATTGGAAAAAGAAAAAGATACAGTAGAAGAGGCAATTGTTTGTCACAGATTTATATGATGCGGAGTAAGAATAGCAAACTGATAAAACGATGTTTTTTTTCATACCAACATCGATTTTTCTTCCGTTTAAATCTCCCACTCTGTTGAAAACTTTTTCATTGACCTTTTTTTTTTATTTGTAGTTTCGAATCTGACTTCCTCTCTATCACACCATCTCTGTCTTGATCAAACATTTCATTTTTATCAATAGTAGTCTAATCGCTTTCACCTTCGACATTTCACACTTTCCTACCACATTCTCTTTCAAATTGTTCATCTTCATAATTTTTTTGTGTTTGTTGTTCTTCCCTGTCGCCATCTTGCAATTTTTCGCTCACCCTTTTGAATCACTTTTTATCCATCTCTGTTTAAAAAAAATCCACCTTTATCGCTAAATTCTACATCTCGCTATCACTCTAGCTAACTCTCTATCACTTATATATATATATATATATATATATATATATATATATATATATATATATATAGAGAGAGAGAGAGAGAGAGAGATCATAAAATATAGTTTTAAGGTATGTTATATTTATGCGTTAAAATGCTCAATAGCAGTGATAGAGCATATGGTAATTTTCTAAGCATATCTTAGATGTAATACAAGGACGAAAGTCCAGGGTACCCAGTGAGGATCGAACTTACTACTCAGTCGTAATTGTTCTAGGGAGACAAACTTCATAACCATTGCGCCAAGTTAAGGTACCAAGTAATTTTCTAAGCGTATCTTAGACGTGGCACAAGGCCGAAAGTATGAGATACCCAGTGAGGATCGAACTGCCTACTCAGTCGTAATTGTTCTAGCTAGACAAGCTTACTAGCCATTAGATCACAGTGAGATGCCCAAGGGCTTATGTAAATATAAAAGTGGACATTGAAGTCAGCACTCAGCGGCTACAGTCTGTTTCATACCTAAATGCAATCTTCAAACCTGAATATTGCGTTTAAGCATGAAACAGACACTCGTCGCTAAGGTCAATCGACCCGTATTCGAACTCACATGGTCGATTTTTCTGTAGTTCTGAGACGAGGTATTGTACTTATTTACACTATTCGGGCTGCTGTCCTCTTACTGATATTTCAGTATCAGTTATCTCCCTTTAACTCAACTTTCCAAATTTTTTGTTCACCTATGAAAGAGAGAAAGGAGAGAGTGAAAGAGATAAAGCATAGAGTGAGAGAGAGAACGGGGGGCCCGAAAGAGAGAAATTATAGAGTGAGAGAGAGAAAGGAGAGAGCGAGAGAGAGAGAAAGAAAGACAGAAATGAGAGAGGGAAAGAGAGAAAAGTGGGAGTGAAAGAGAGAAAAGAGAGCGTGAAAGAGAGAAAGGAGAAAGACCATAAAAAAGAAGCGAGAGAAAAAAGGATTCGTCGGGACATTTAAAAAAGAAAGAAAGAAAGAATCCTTCGAAAAAAATAAGTGAAGACCAATTGAAGAACCAAGAAAGGGTGAATAAAACTGAAGCGAAAGGAGAGAGAGAATACACGAAAAAAAGTTAAGAAAAAAAGGATGGAAGGAAGCAAGGAATCATTTGAAAAGCCAGGTTTGAAACTCACAACTCTTTTAGTCAAGTCTCTGGATTACTTCAGTCAACGCTTTTATGTGTCCTAGAGATACTCGGAAGAGGTCTTGCACGTGGAACTAGAACAATCTACCCGCTGGACGAAATAAAGTGTTCGGTTCGAAATTCCAGTCACCTGAAGAAGGCCGGAGCGTACAACAGCCAAAACGTCGTGAATACAACAACATAGATGAGGACAACAGTCCGAACAATGTAAAGGTAATTTCTTGTTGCGATCCAGTAGGTGGCAAGTGTAGACTCAATGCCTGTGAGTGAAAATGGCCGAGACGGAACTGTTTGATAGTCACTAGTCATCGTGAACGAGAGTTTGAATGCATCGACCTCTCTCTCTCTCTCTCTCCCTCCCTCCCTCCCTCCCTCTCAGAAACTGTAACTAAAGTCGCAGAAAACACAGGTTAGAACATGCACAAAAGCACGTGAGCAGATGTCTGAAACAAGGATTAGCTAGCAGACGGGTGTGCTCGGAAAACGTGTAGCCAGTCATTATGCGTATACAAGTAGGAAATTCTGTATAAACTCAACAGATTTCTGTATTTGTTTTCGTCATTTATTTTGCTTCATCAGAAATTTTTGGAAGAGGAATAGCGTATGTACGTATATGTATGTATTTCGCTCAGGTCTTGCATGAACTTTAGTCCCAACAGACGCCCATAGCAATCACCATCTTTGAGTGTACAACCATTCATCGAGATTAATTAGGTGATTCGTTTTATACGGTTTATCAACCCTTTGCAGGCTATTTAAAGCCAGAAAATATTTTTAGAGTGTAAGACTTGTATGATTTAGTGACATATGTCTTACTAATTAATTGTCTGGATTTATCATACATAAAATAGGGAGTTACTTTTCAATCATCCTATATATATATATATATATATATATATATATATATATATATATATATATATATATATATATATATATATATATATATATATATATATATATTCATCAATCATCCTGTATGTATATAGGGTGTTCGGAAAGTTACTGTGCAGTTTTCTAATCAAATTTTTTATACATTATTTACATTATTGTAATAATTTTTATACATTTAGTATGAATACCCAGAAATTCAGACACAGATGTCCTCAAGGACACATGGCATAGTGGATAAAGGCGTTAGTGACAGGACCCAAAGAGTGTGAGTTCAATACCCGGTTAAGGCAGTGGAGAACTTTCAGAGGGATAAATGACATCCATTAAACATGGCACGTGGAACTAGAACAATCTACCCCAGTGAGCGAAATAAAAGGTTCAGTTCGACATTCCAACCACCTGAAGAAGGCCGGAGTGTACAATGGCTGAAACGTTGTAATAAATATGGCGACAAAGATGAGGACAATAGTCCGAATAATGTAAATAATGTACATAATACCTCATCTCAGAAATATAGACAGATACAGATTTTTTTATATTTCCGATTTCACTGAAATATGGTTTTAACATGGACCGTGTATTTCCAAAGGGTATAAGTGAATATAACTAACCCAATTGGAATTGGAACTCGGATCTCCGTATAACAATCCCATGCCATTATCCATTATTACACTACTCGCATATCCAATCTTACATCACCTGACATTCTCAAACGGCTACAAATCTAGGTAATGACCAGACTCTACGTTTCTTAACTTCGCTGATCGTACAGGAACCAAAGTTTCAATGTGATATGGCCGTAAGCCGTAACGGGTGAGAATTCACGGTCCGCTCGCTGATGCTAAAGAATTACTTGCTTAGTGCTGAAGGTATTCAAAATTATAAGCCTGTTTTTTTTTTGGGGGGGGGGTAGAGTTAAGTTAGCTAAGTCATGTAGATTTTTGGGGGTGCACCCATAAAATGTGGTATCATCTACACAGCTATTTACTAATAAATAAAGTGTTTTTGTCAGATCTTTGATATAAAGCGGAAAGAGGGTGGGACCGAGGATTGAGTATTATGAGACGCCTTATGGGCTTCAGAAGCCTGAACACTGACAACGAATTTCAAGAACCTACTTGATAGGAAGGACTTGCGTAGGCTCTTCCAGAGATTTTATAATTTCCATACGCGGAGAGTCTGTAGAACAACCACCTTATCAAAGACCTTTAAGGTATCTTAGGCGATTACTCTCGTGATTAATTTATTATCTACTTCTTCACTGTGTGCTATGACATCAGCAGTGGACCTAGAAGAGAGAAATCCATACTAGTTATCGCTCAGGCGGTTGTTTCTTTAAGGAGACCCACAAACTTCTTGAAACTATAATGTCGACCTTTGACACGAAAAGCAATGAGGCAAACTAAAATGTGCTTGATATCTATGGGAATCATTTCAAAAACGCAACATAGAGATAGTTGTTTAAACATGAGTTAGTTTGGACCACAGAAAAAATATGAATATGACGAGGTAAGTTAACATTTACTTTCAGTCTATCATATATTTAAAATGTGGGAAATGGCGTATTATACACGAATAAAGTGTCGTAGGTGATACACCTACTAATAGTCAGACAGTTTCACGGACTTGTGTTTATTTATGCACAAGAAGTTCATTATTGTCTGTCGCGACTCGAAGACGGGTAAGTTGCTTTTTTCGTGACATGCGATGAGGATTTATTTTTGAAATTACCTTCTTTTAGCCATAGCCCTAAATAAGCAGAATCTGCAAGGCAACAGGTGGTTTGAATTCAGAGTTTTCTTCTTCTAGACTGGTTGCCAACCAAAGCTATAGGATCCAGTCTATTCAGCTATTTTACCCATAGCTGGGAGAGAATAGATGGATTCATACTCCCAAGGGTATTTACACGTAAGTGAAAGTAACTCAACTGGAATTCGAACTAAACTCTCCGATTCCTCAATCCGAGCCGCTAACCGTACCTACTCTCCAGTGCCTTCGTACACGAATAATTACCGTATCCAAATAAACTTCATATTAATTATCTTCGAATGAGACAAGCTAACAATATATTTGATGCTTTGTGGCCATTTATGCGTCCTCAGAGAGAACCTTCTTTCGTCCCAGAATCCAGATTTATAAACTGATATCCGGGGTATTAGCCACGAGAAATAAGCTATTTTTGGATGACCAATTTTAGGATGTGCGAGTCTTGTACTGTATTGAGTAGGGATACGTATTTCCTGACAATAAAACTGTATATGGTTCATATTGCCATTGTGAGGGGGTAATTGAATATTGATATCGCTTTATAAAAGAGGTGGGGGGTTAATAGTGATTTTCCAAGCGTAGCTTAGATGTGGCACAAGGCCGAAAGTAGGGGGCACCCAGTGAAGATCGAACTCACAACTCAGTGGTAATTATTCTAGCGAGACAAGCTCGCTAACCATTACACCGCCTCGAGGTGCCCCAGGTGGGGGTTAATATATAGATGCACGCTCACTGGTTCAAAACTTATCGACAACAATACTGACATCAAGTGTTTTATCAAAATCTTTTCTGTTCTCTTGCTTTTAATCTTTCCATTTTTCCCTCTACGCGCTTAGTAGCACCCCCCCCCACATCACGTTTGTTTGTTCTGCGAAATACTTTTCTTTTCTTTTATCATCCATATTTTTAATTCTTTCTTACATTCTCTTATCTGGTCTTTATCCTGCCCGCCTCACCGACATTTCATCCCCGCTGACTTAGAGCTATTTTTCTTCAATAGCCTTTTTGCTTTATCTTCTCATTGTTCTCGTCTGATCCTTTCATTTTTTTTTCTTTATTCTTTTTTATCCTTTCGAAATTACTTTTGTCTTTAATCCAAATATTTTTAATAAATTCTAAAATTAATATTTGATAGAGCAAATGGGAAATAGCCAATCGGTTTCTAGCGACCACAAAAACAGCCAAAGATCTAAATAAAGAGCTTTGCAGATCTTCATAAGATTGTTTTCGTCCGCATATTATAAGCTTCTAATATTCTCGGTTTACTGAGTAAAGAAAACCATTTAGTTTTTGTTTTTTGTTTTTTTTTCTTTTTCTTTTATTAATCTGGGATGTTCAGAATCGAGTACAAATATTCTTACTTGGTCTTTCTTTGTGCTGTTTTTTTTTTTCCTCTCTGTTTGAGATTAAAGAAATACACGCTTTTGTTTCAGTCAAAAGAAGTATAAATGACTTTTTGACTTAATAAAGAAATACACAAGAGAGTGAAACAATTCTTCTTCTTTTCCTGTGTGCCCTTTCCTTTCACGACGTAGTCGATCATGTCTCTCCAAAATTTCCCTGTCCTTTTCCTGTGGACCTGTCTGATTTCGGACCATTCGCCCATAAGTGGATAAGCTACGGCTCTTTAGACGACAGCGAATTATACGTGTATAATACGCACATTTCCCACGTTTTTAAGCCTTAACGTTAGGAGTAGGATAGACGAAAAGTAAATGTTTAATTGTCTCTTTCTATTTAGAACATTATAACCAAAAGTAGATTTTATCTGTGGTCCACGCTAACTCATGTGATGTCCTGGGTAAGACGATAAACTACATCCAACAGCAAGACTTCTGATTAGAAGATTTTGAAGAGCGTGGAACCACCTCTTAACTGCTGGTGTTCCCACGTCCACCCTAACCCGGGGTGGTAGCACCTGTTAGGGTCCCATCTATGGGCAAATAGTTAACAACCAAACTGGGTTCAAAGCACTATGAAATTGTAAAAATATGTTTTAACATTTTTGGACTGTATGTCTTTAATCTCAAACAGAGAGAAAAATCAGAATAAACAAGACCATATTCGTATTCGATTCTGAACATCACAGAAAAAAAAACTGAAAGGTTTTCTTTACTCAGCAAATCGAAAATATTAGAAGCTTATAATATCCGAACGAAAACAAACTTATGATAATCCTAGTGACTAGACCCAAAGAATTGTGAGTTAAAAATACACGTTTTTGTTTCAG